GGATTGAATCAAAGGGTAGGTCAAATTCTTGGGATGACCTTACAGAAGATGCACCAAATTAAATTGTCTTGCAGCGTGTTAACTGCTTCCGTCATGCACCCTTCTGCGTAGTATTAGATGTGTATTATATTCAGAAATCTTTTTTCATTTCTTTCACTGAAAGGTGAAATGGTTATTTTGATTTAGTAGGCTCCAAAAGTCCATAAATTTCATCGCCATTTGCAAAGAGGTAGTTTTGTGTGATTTTTCTCCCTCATTTAAATAAATTGACTTTGTCGTATTTAAGCAAGGATTTGAACTTGTCTTAACAAAGTTAAAGTTAATGTTTCTCCGATCACAGAGTTTGATCGTTTTATTTATCGAATTTAAGATGTACTGAAAGCTTAAGCAGTATTAATACTGCTACACATAATGAATGTATTTGATAATAATGCAATACATCATATTCTTACTGTAAAATTCCATTTTCCTGTCGTGGCCGTAGTAGGCGAGTGGTCAGCAGTGGCGTAACGAAGAATATTTGGGCTCCCCCCCCCCCGCAAAGTCAGATTTTGGGCCCCAAGTTGGATTTTACAAAAGGTAGCTACTTGGTGGCAGTCAGGCTTTGGGCTCCCAAGAACCCTACCCCCACCCGCAATGCGGGGGTGTACGTTACGCCACTGGTGGTTAGGGTCACGAACTCATGGCCGGCATTGTTGAGTCGAAGACTAAAGTCCTGCTGCCATTGAAGACCCGCTGCGTTGAGCTGATACACGGGATATCTATCCTGACTCAAAGTCCTCACCAATTGCGTAACGTGCACTTCCGCAATCCCCACATTGAGGGGAGGCCCAGGGACTGAAAGGGGCCCAAAGCTTGACGAACGCTAAGTATATATTTGGGTTTGGGGCTCAAAACCTGAGTTTGCAGGGGGCCCTAATATTCTCCGTTACTCCACTGATCCTCACATTGGCGTGGTGTGAAAAATAGGAGAGTGGAGGCACTGTCTTCTTCACTTGACCAAGGGTCAAAATGAGGCCATGTTGCTTAAGAATGCGATGCAAATCAAAATCAAACCAAATCCACTTTCTTTGTTTTTCAATGTTTTTTATTTCAGTATTAAATTTATTTATATCTTACAAAAAAACTCAATTTTTTTTATCGTTAATTAATTTGAGTGAAATATTGACAATTTCTTGGGATACAGGCAAAACTTTATTCCTATTTCGACACAGTTCGATTCTCAAGCGATACTAAATCAGCGCGAATTTGTGTCAAACCAATTATATGATGAGAGAAAAAACTTAATTTATGTATTATAAAAAGTCAGATTTACACAATCCAGGTATGAAATGTATTCTTTTCAAGATATGGAGCTCTTCTGTAATAGAAGAACCGACGAACATGTCAAGGCAAAAATTACTTCAGTTCTTTATAGACACTGCATCATAAGTTTCATAGGCTTTGGTCTTTAAAAAAAATATAAATAATCTGGATGAATTTGATGGTAGCTCTTTTACTACGAAACAGTTATTCTCTGCAATGAAATAGGTGTTCGTTACCTTCATTTCGAATTAAAGGTCATCACCCTGCGCTTTGCGCAACGCAAGGCTGGCAAGTACGACATAAAAAAATCAACTGCATCGATGCTTCTGGGGACTAAGTGACATTTATATCCTTTCTGCTACCCAGGGAAACTAAGATTTCCTGTAAGAATGGGTTCTTCAACACCCTTCCGAATTTTACGATTTCTCGAAACCATTGATTTACACGAAAAACGTCAATTACTTAAACAATTCTATCGACACTTTGAATTCATAGGATGCATTTGCAAAATTTCCCCTTCTTCTGGACCTAGAGAATGCGGATCCATTTTTTCATGAGGGTCATCAGGGTTATTTGGAACTGGGTTGCACTCCACGCGACACCTAGCCCCACCCCCAGTGACACAATACGACCCTTAGTAACGGAATCTTACCCCTAATGTGTCTCTCAGGTAGCAGAGACGGATGTCAAATGGTGTTTGACTTCCTCCCTTGCATAGCCTCTTCGCTGCTGAATAGGGAAGTGTTCACCAAACAAAGTCTTCAGTCCAGCAGGGGGTACCAAATGATTTAATTGCATTTGATTAGTTGATTTAATTAATGGTGTTAATGGCTAATTGACAGGGGGGGGGAAGAAACTAAATTAGAAAAATGTCGATGACATTTGTTGCGTACAATTTAATGACATTAAATTTTTATACTTAGTTTTATATTTTTATTTTTTTTATTTGATTTATAAAATAGTGCAAAAGTTTTGAGCATGAATGCAAGGAAAAGTTATGTAAGATTTTACTATCACCAATGAGAAAATTGCATGCGTATAGATTCAAATCTCTTAAAACTGCTGATTACTCATCGCTGTTTCGTCTACGTGGTGAGTTTCTGGAAAGGCAGTTGAAAGCTGAAATTCAAACTGTTATCTGTTCGTTATTCGAGTCTTAAAATAGCGGAGAAGATTTTCTATTCGTTATTATCCTATCTATTGATCCATTTGATTTATTTTTTAAATAATTTAATTTGTATCTGTTCAATTTCGAATATAATATGAAACATCACATGCCATGTCGTGAGAGGAATTTGAGAGCTTGCTCAATCTTTCCAGAAATAAAAAATAAATTGCTGAGTTGTAAAATATTTCAATAACTTTATATTGTATGAAAAAGGTGCTTTTTTTAGCAATAACGACTCTTGTTTCTTTTAAGGCTTGCATTATTAATCAAGTTTAGATTGCTAAATTTCTAAATTTTTTTATGATCTGTATTTTACGAAAAACATGCTTCATGAAAAACAACAGCCTCCTGCTTCTTTGAAAGCTGTGTTATATATACGTGTGTGTATATTATAGTTATACTCTTCGCTGTGCCTTTATTTGTGCCTTTCGTTCGATAAATCTTCTTCCAATAAGGCTGCATTAGTCTAGTGGTTCTGGTCACGAACTCGTGGCCGGCGTGTCATGAGTTCAAATTCTAGTGCCACCGAAGACCCGCCTTATAGCACGTTATATTTGTCATGTAGACGCCGCTGATGCACGTTATATTTATCACGTGGCTCAAAATCCTGACGTTGGCATGGTATGGAAGTTTAGAGCCAGTTTAGGTGTTGTCCTCATCTCTTGACCGTGGGTCAAAATTGTGAGGTCCATAGCCAATAGCTGTCATGCTGCTTTATAGTGTGACTTTAATGAACTCTCTCTCTCCACCAAATCCTCCAAAAATTGATTAAAATATGTGTCCCGTGCTCAATTCATTCTTTTCAACACCCTTTTATAAGCTTCACTTGTATGCAACGGAGTTTTTTAATTCAATTTTTACCCACTTTAAAAGGTCAGATTAATTCGAAATTTTGCTCACTTGTCCAGAACCGATGACAATTTAATAATTTTGTTCCATTGTCCTTATCAGGATTAACGATTTCCCATTTTCGGATCCCATCCCACATTTGGCGACTAATTTCAAATCTTATTTCTAGATTTGGCGACTAATTCCAGATCTTATTTCCAAATTTGGTGAGTGGCCGGAGTAGCCAAGTGGTCAAGGTATTGGATCATGGCAGGCAGTCATGAGTTCGAGCCCAGTATCACTAAAGAACAGCCGTGTAGGGGAGAGATACACGATACATTTGTTGAGAGCTCAAACGTCCTCCCGTTGGTGTGGTGTGGTAGTTAGGAGAGGGGGTGCCAGCTCAGATGTCGTCCTCGTCACTTGACCATGGTTCAAAATTACGATGTCCGTTGCCAAAAGCCCTCGTGTAGCTGAACAGTGCGACGTTAATATTCACTCACTACCCAGATTTGACGACAAATTCGAGATTTGGCAACTAATTCCAGATTTGGCGACTAAAAGATTAAGTTACAACTTAGTTCACTTAACTATAAAAGGGTTTTTTTTTTAGTTTTTTAAACTTTCTTCTAGAGTACAAATGCACTTTTTAATCGCATTGACTTTTGATTTCTTTCAAATGTATCTCAGCAATCGCACATTTTTCGATGCATTCATTGCTTATTTTTAGCCCCGAGTGCAATGGAAATTTCCATCCCGTCGAATAATCAAAGAAACCCGAGGGAGATTAAATATCTTTAATCTGATCTTAAGAACGAAGGAATCTGTAACGGCGCCACATCTTCTGAGACTAGTTTAATGGAGCGTGGTGCCTTTGGACTTCCAGCTTCTGCATGCTTCGTACTTAATAGGTGTAACGGCTGGCTTGAGGGAAAAGTAAAGAAGGATTTATGTTATCTATAAAAATTGTGTTATTGTCACGAATATTTAAGTGAGGGTAGAAGAAAAGAAAACAATTGACTTTGAACGCAGCGAAATGCTTTTGAATCTGAAGATAAAAGTTCATTCACGTAAAAACTGAAAAGCGAAATGTTTTTTCAACACCGAAAAGGATTATCGAGTAATGACAGGAGGTAGTATCTGTAGTTCTAAATTGTAAGTAAAATGTAAGTTAAACAACAATTAATTCTTTTTTTTTTAAAAAAAATTAGAACTGATAGTAATAATACTGAAGGAAGTCTATCAAATTGTAAAATTATAAAAATGTCTTATTAAGGTGGATTTGTTGTTGTTTTCGAGAGGGCATTTTTTTTTATCGATTGTGCTTTATATCGATACAATCCGACTTCACGATGTTTTACCTGATCTAGACTGATTTGAAATACTTCTCTTTTTTTGCAGTTCCTACACTATTAGTTCACTCTCCCTATATAATATATATATATAGGGTTGAAAATTTGAACAAGATACATATACATATATATATGTATCTTGTTCAAATTTTCAACCGTTTATAAAATGCTTTCTATTCATCCATTCAAGTTCACATATATTTTCTTAAACTTGTAGTGGATGACACTTGTTGGTAATACAGTTTTTTCAAATATTAATTCACTAATTAAATTAAAAATGAATAAATAGTAACAAGCACAAAAATAATAGTTCAACAACATATATAGAAAGGAAAATCATTCGTTGTGTTCCAGTAGCGCAATGGATAGCGCGTTGGAATTCTAAACCAAAGGTTGTGGGTTCGAATCACACCTGGGATGGCCTAATTTCTGAGAATGTGATTTCTTTTTACTGTTCTATTTTATTGGAATAATTAAATTTAATTGATGAATAAATAGTAATAAACAAACAAAAATAGTCCAACAGCATATATAGAAAGGAAAATGGAAAATAGTAAGGAAAATCACTTTCTATTTTGTCACTCAATATTGTGGTTTTGTCATATGCATATACATATTTTTATTAATTGTAACTATTTTATAAAAAGTAACTAAAAGAAAAATTTTCTTTGTTGACCTAAGTAGGAATTCACTTAAATTTTTTTTACATTAATTGTTTTATCTGACTTTACCTGGTTCTCTGACTTGATCGACCCGATGTTTAGAGGGGATGATGCACGTAAAACCTGTAGACGCTCAAAGTCCTGCAGTTGGTGTGGCGTAGTTGGAGAGGAGGTGGGCCTGCTCAGGAGTCATCCTCGTCACTGACCTTGGCTCAAAATAACGAGGTCCATCGCATATGGGTTGCTCGACGTTAATAAACACTTTCTTTCTGTCTTTATCGGTATCTTTATTATCTAATTCGACAAAATCAGTGATGGGGAAAAAATTTAAGTGTGAGCCGAGAAAAAAAAAAGAAAGGCTTTTGACACAAGCCAATTTAATTTATTATAAAACGAAGTAAGAAAATTTTTAAAAATAATATGCTTTTAAAAAATTTTATTGCTTATATAATGAATAAAGTTAAGATTACATTTATTGTTTCTTGTTCAATTACATGGACTTAACATAAAGGGAAATATATATTAGTATATTTTTATTATTTCAGGAACAATTAGTTGGGAAGATTCTATTTTGCAAACTTGCAAAATAGAATCTAACTTCAAAAATTTTTAAATAATTTCTTGTAATCCGGTTGTCTAAATTATATTTTGAACATGTAAAAAAATGTTCAGATTCTTACAGAAATTTCTGCATACGTGAAAGGTGGAATATACAACATTAGATAAACTTTATAAATGTTGAAACTCAAAATTTTGATCCCCCTGTTTTAAAATCTATGGTGGACCCTAGTTGAGAAAAGTTTTCAAATGTGTGTTTTTTTTTATATCTAATTGTATTTAAATGCCATGGCTTGATTTTTTTTTAAATTGTAATATATGTGCATATTGTTTTTCTCTTAAGGGCCTTATTTTAAACATATTTTATCTTTTTTATCTGCAGACCTAAATCTAATGAACATGTATGTTCCTCACGTTTTTAGTACATCCGTTATTTACGTGGAAAAACTTTTTTTTTATCAAAAAAAAGAAAAGAAAGAAAAGAAAAGAGGGGTTAATATTATCATTACATTCAATCCTTGTGTACTGCTGAGCTCGAATTTTTTTTCAATTATGTACTAACGAAATTTCAAAAGTTTTGCAAAATAATACGCACAAATGACTTATCGTTCCATCACAGCAAACAAACGACAAAGAACAATTCAAGGGTCGTTTTACATCAACAAAATGTTTTGTCTACCCCATACTCATCAAAAGTGCAAATAAATAAACAATCAATGCCTCCTCGCTCAAATTTGTTTTGATGGAACGGGAAAGTGAGTGATTTTAAAGTGTCATTGTGAAAAGAAAAGAAAAATGAACGAAACTTCTTTTTCTTTTTACCTCTTATTCGAACAAGCCAAGGAGGGGGGTGGACCACTGCGGAGTCCGTCTGTCGCCCGTACATCCTCCTCCCTTCTCAACTGACCCCAATGAAATGATTCTGATGACGTAAATCGTTTTTCTTTTCTCGCTATTCCTATTTTTAGGAAATGAGCCATCCCAATGATTAGAGAGAGAGAGAATCTCTGGGATAAAAAGAGGGAGGGGTGGGGAGTTCCTCTCATCCGGGTAGGTGTTGAGACTCCGGCTGTGTGAGTGTTCCAATTATGACACTCGAATTCGAGTCAGGATGTCGCAACGCTCGATGGGGGTTGGAGCAATTTTCGCGAGTTGGGATTCGTTTAGTTCCGGATACTTTTGGGATAACTCAACCAATGAGGTGAACAGATGCATAAGCGATTTGTTTTTATTATTTTATGGGGTGGGACGCAAAGATTGGCTAAAACTCAGCTTAAAAGTTTTGTTATCCATATTAGTCTCTTTAAGAAGAAATGATTTCAAGTTGTTTCTAATGATCGTATACTTATTACTTGACTAAAAGATACAAAAACTTGTTCTTGAGACTATTTTAAATTTTATTGTTGTTACTATGCCACTGTCTAACTTGTCAGATCGAGGACCACGAAATTCATCGCGGCAAATGGCTACATGTACGCCTGTCGTTATTCGTAGCTTTGAGCACCATACAAGTGATAGTGCATTTTGGATCGGTTCCACTCAATTTTGAGGAGAAAACCCTGAAGGTGGTCAGGGGCCTCCCACCTCTCTTCCCCATCACCAACTTCACGAGAGGACTTGCTGCACAACTGCTATTTAGAGTACCCCATGCCGCGAAGGCACTACACATTTACAAACATTCATGCCTTCTCCGGGATTCCAACCAAGCCCTATGGTATAGAGGTCAGCGTCACTAACCACTATAACTATTTCAAGTAGATATTTATAACAAACTGATTAATGAACTTTTATTTATAAATTATTTCAAATTATACAATTCATAAATCGGCCGGCTGGGTGGCGTGGGTGGTCTGTCGCTGGCCTTCTGCATCCAAGGTTGCGGGTTCGACACCGGACCAAATCGGTGGATTTTCATGATGAAGAAAATCGACAGCGGCCATGTCGTATGATTATACGGCATGTAAAAGATCATTAGAGTGTCTGTTTGGCTTGGATGCTCTTGGCAAAATTAAATCCTAGTACAGGTTCGCATCGTCAAGAACTCAGGTGCTTCCCTCTGGGAGTAAACTGGGCGTCAAAATTACTTGCGGTAATTGTATCGCCTATACGGTGCAGCACTAAAACGGATACTAGTTTCTGGGGAATGTACTAGACTGCAAAGGTTAAAATACCAATGTGCAGCCCCATTAGAAAAAAAAATATGTATTAAGTCCCTTAAAAGCCAGTTCTAGGATGTTTCGTTCTCTCTCAAACTTGAAACACTAAAGGAGCACATGTTCTACATTTTTCTCCGCCATCATATCACAATCACAGGAAGACGAAGGAACTAAATTAAATTTGTTCAAGTAGCTTTTAAAGTTGCCATGACCAGTTAGAAATTGGGTTATTATGTAATTAGTATAAAGATGGTGGCAGGCCAGTCTCTTATAATGGTTGGAAAAATTTCTTTGTTGAGCTTCCTTTATTTGAAATGAGATATTCTTGGTTCCAAGACTTCACCATTCTTTCTTTCATTATCTTGTCAATGATTTAGGAATATTAACAGCAATGTCAATTTTGCGCTTGATTGCAGCCTTTGCAAACCAATCGGCCCGCTCATTTCCAAGACGCCCGTGTGTCCGCGAACAAATGCAAAAACTATTGAGATGTTTTTGTCTTTTAGGCTTTTCAGTTGCTTTTGGATCTCGACGATTATGTTTTTAGGTAAAGAAATACACTTGTGAGAGAATCCAAGGAGGAATGAGTGAGTGAGTGAGTGATGTTTTGGGGTTTATTGGCGCAAGAGCCGATTTCGGCTATACTGCGCCAAACATTTGTTTTAATATCTGTGGTCTAGACGGGAAGAGAAAGAAAGAATGAATTGAATGACAAGAAAGAGGGTCGAAATAGAGAAGGATCACTAGGGTACCCGGGTTCGTGAAGCCCATGTTTACCAAAGCAGTAAACCCGTGGGAAAAGGAAAAGATCACTAGGGCACCTCGGGATTGTGACACCCGTACTCACCTAAAGAAGGTGAGCCCCCTGAGGGGCTCCAAGGAGGAAAGAGAGTCTGTACAGATGAGGTAGTCTGAGATGACACTATTTTTGTTCAGAGATCCTTTTAATGGCGAAGTTTAAACATAAAAGTTCTGCTAGAAAAACTGGGCATTCATCACGAATTCTAAATTGCAAGTGCATGTGGAGTTTGAACTTAAAATACGGTTCTATGATCTTTAGAAGTGCGAGAACGGAACCTGTTATCTTTCTTTTACAAATTCTTATTTTACCCTCTTGACTACTATGGTCCTGTTTCACACATGAGATTGAGTGTTTATTTGTCGCACTCTACATCGACACTATTGGCGATGGGCCTCACAATTTTGAGCCACAGTCAAGTAATAAGGAAAACACCTGAGCTGACAATCCCTTTTTAAGCTACCGCACTACGCTAACGGGTGGACTTAGAGTCACGAACGGATTTAACGTGTATCAACCCACTCTACGCGATGGGTTTTCAGTGGCACCAGGATACGAGCCTGTGACACGCCGGTCATGAGTTCGTGACCATGACGATTCGGTTATCGCGGCCACCTTCTGTGGACAAAGCGGGAAACAACTTTAATGTTTTTCAATTCCTACTCTTCGATCCAATATCCCTATTTATATATATATATTTATTTTTATTATCAATCTCTCTATATATATATCTTGTTCAAGTTTTCAATCGTTAATAAAATACTTTTTATTCATCCATTCAAGTTCAAATACATTTTTTAAACTTGTAATGGATGACACTTATTGTTATACAGTTTTTTCAAATATTAATTCATTAATTAAATTAAAAATGAATAAATAGTAACAAGCAAAAATAATAGTTCAACAGCATATATAGAAAGGAAAATCGTTTGTTTCCCTGTAGCGCAATGGATAACGTGTTGGAATTCTAATCTAACTTCGTGGGTTTGAATCCCACCTGGGATGGCATGATTTCTGAGAATGTGATTTCTTTTTTACTGTACTATTTTATTAAAATAATGACATTTAATGAATGAATAAATAGTAGCAAACAATACAAAAAATAGTCCAACACCCTATATAAAAGGAAATTGCTAGGAAAATCTCTTTCTGTTTTGTCACTTAATATTGTGATTCTGTTATATGAAAAACATATTCACACACACACACATATTAATTGTAACTGTTAAATAAAAAGTTACTAAAATAAATTGTTTTTTTGTTGACCGAAGTAGGAATTGACTCAATTTTTTTTTTTTTTTTTTATATTACTTGCTCCTACTAAGTGCAAAAAAAAAAAAAACTACATCAATGATTCGCAACGACCTTCATTCGATATTTAAATATTATGATTTATTGTGAATGAAAGCATTAGACAGAGTCGCTGGGACAATGGAAAATGCAACAAAGAAGTTTCGAATAGTTTATAATTCAGAATATGGAAACACTATAACTTAGCGTAATGTTTCCAAGGTAGCAACAACAAAAAAACAGGATATTTTTACGCCTTAAGATAGAATCAAAAATAGTTTTGCTCAAAACATGATATCTAGTTAAAGTTCACATTGTTTTTATTCAGGCAGGGCATTAAAAGCATTATAAGGTTGCTGTTCATCTGATATCCATTTAAATGCTTGAAGCCAATTATGAATTCAAATTATTATTTTCGATTTTTAAATGTATGTGTATTCATAAACGAAAAGTGTAAGAAAAACACAAACGTATCTTTTTTTTACCGTATAATACCTATAATTTGCAGGAGTTTTTTAACATTGACCTATAAGCTTATTTTTTCTCACTTTAAAAAAAAACAATTGAATATACCCTTGTTTTTATGTACCTCTCGTCAAGATTGAACATTTTTTGCAAACTAAAAATAAAATGCATTGTTACGAGTTTTGGCATTTTTTATGAAGCAGAACCAACTGGTAATTTAAAATTGATAAATGGCCTTGCTTGGCCTAATTGGCTATCATTTAATAGCTTTTTCAGATCCTTTCCTTTTTCTAGATACTCGCAAACTAAATGGGTTTTTATTGTTGCCAAAAACAACCTTTTTTATTATTACGAAGAATGTTATTGTTATAATTCAAATCACGTGCAACATTCGATGGCTTGAAATGCAGTTTGAAAGCTGATTCCCTTTTTTTTTCGATGAAAATAATGTTTTCATTTTTTCGTATGCCACTTGACAATATAACTTTTTTTTATGAACTTTCAAATAACTTCGTAAACTAACTTTTTTTAGCGATAGCTTCCAGGGGGGAAAACATAACTTCTACTTCTTTCAATTTCGTCTTCCTCCAAGTGCTCTACTTTTCCTTTTCGATGATTACACGTTTGGAAGATCTTCAATTAGCGCTAAATGTTTTGCACGCAACTCAAAAATATGACGTAATGCTGACAAAAATCAAATTGTTCTTTCTCCGGTTACTCGACTCTTTTTCTTTTTCTTTTCTTCCTTTCTTTTCTCTAATGGAAATGGCATCACGGAGTATTTGGTTCCGCTCTAATGACTTCAAAACTTCCTTCCTTCCTCTATCGGAATCGTCTTCATCGTCGTAATTATACTTTGTCTCTATAAATCTTAGCATTACTATGAAGGAAGTCAATGGTTTCTTTCACTAATGGTTTGTTATTAGGAAGCTTACATTTTTCGGAATCTGTGATTGTGTGCACTGAATTCCTCAGTATATTCAAACTGAATATAATTGGCAGCAATATTACAACTATCCGAAAAGTTAATATTTTTCAGAACTATTTCTGATTTTATAAACCTGATTCTGGAATTTAATACTCCTTGATAGCAGGGACGTTTTAAAGCATGAGCCAACTAGGCCCAGGCATTGGTCTCGGAGGGGGCGGGGGAGAGATCGTCTCGTTCTGGATTCGGCTTCATTAAGATCATGATCAGAATAGTTTTAACCATCAGATGCTATTGCCAGACATATCTAAAAAACTGAAAAATCATATGACTCAATCACGTTTGATTAATTTAAGTTTGATGTGAGAATTAAAAATGAAATGCTAACTGTTGACTTTTTATAGACATGTAATTGCTTTGCGCATTTAAAAGGTAGAAAACGAGTTTTCTAATTTTATTGTGGATTGTTTTTGTTGAACTTTACATGTATGTACACCAAATTCAATAAAATAGTCATAGGTTCAGCCTACTTTTCATAAGGGCTGGACGTCTTAAGACTCTTTGAGGCCCTGGGCCCATAGAAATCTTACGAATTTTTGAGGGCCCTGGCCCCCTATGCAAAAGTAGGCCCGGCCTGAGATCTTTATAAGCAGTATAGCATACATTGTCAAATATTCGTTCAGACGGTAATTTGAAACAAATTAATGTGCACGGCTCAACCGATGGCCGCATCTCGATTAAATGAGTTAAATGATTATTTTATGGTAATAGGCCAAGGCCTATACATGGACAACGGTCATCACATAATACAGTCTTACCACTTTTACCAGTTGACATGCAGTTTGAAATTCCTTGTTTTTCGGAGAATATGTACGGGAATAATTGTTGACCATTAAAAATATCCGAATCATGATCTTTGTAAGACAAGAGTCTAGAACGAAACGAGGCTCGCATCGAAAGTGAGGCCCTGGGCCCGGGGCCAGTTGGCTCATACCTTAAGACGTCCCTGCCCAAGCCTAACGAGTGTTAAGAGGTTACGGCTTGATAGGTTCCATCAAGAGATCAAAGATGCTCAATATTTGTAGTTCATTAAACGCTCAAAAAGGCATTCATGAATTTCAATGTAGGCTTTAAAGAAATGCTTATTATTAAACTGTGACATATAAAGAGAGAAAAATAACTACTTTGATGTGATAAATCTTTTTGAGGATTTACAGCACGAGTTTTTTAAAGAAATTGATATTTGTCTCCAGCATATTTTGAATGCATTAACTTTTATCTTTTGTGTCATCCACTATTTTGTGGAGAAAATAGCTCAGCTGATATTGACAGATTTTTTAGTTAATCTCTGTTATGAATTTTCTTTATCGAGAAAGCCCTGTTTATCTTTCAGGGCAATTCTGATATAAAAAGTTACAGTTTTATACTTCTTTATAAATGAATTTGAGCAAAATAATAATTCTAAATGATTATCGAAAACTATTCAGTTTATTTTTCTTTTTAAAGATGTAAATTTCAGATTATTCTGACAGGAGATATAGGAGAAAAACAGATTGATTTAAAAAAGAACTGTGCCTAGAGCATTCTCTTGATTTTTTACTGTATTTCTAATTTACTTCTTTCAGTTTGATTTTAACTGTGCTTTTTCCATTACTGCGCATTGGCGTACACATGAGTGGGAGTCCCCCTCCTCCGATAGGCCAAGAAATTTTTAATTTTTATCATAGAGATTACACCTCGGCGCTTTCGTTTGCGTGTTTTCTGGAATGTAACCCCCTTCCCCTCATGAGAGAGGTCCACCTACGCTACTGCCACTGTGTTCTCCCCCCCACACACACACAATATTTGCTAATTTTAATGTCCTTAGAATAAATAACTTACCCACAATTTCTTCGTTTTTTTTCATCTTCTGTTGATAAATCAGTTTTTCGCTTAACAAATATCATTAAACTAGCCTAAAAAATTCTGTTCTTCCTCAGATATAGAATGTGGCATTTGAATCCTTGATAAGTTGAATTCAAACCATACAACACGCACAAAACCTCACTATTTTTTCAGAGCAAATAATATTTCGGTTAAGTGCCCAAACTGAATTGATTGTTTTGCCAGCTAAGAAACATCTCGGATTCTGGTATCTTTCAGCCATTTGCATTCTACGCCGTCATTGCTGAGTTGCAATTATCCTTCCTACGAGGGAGATAGCAACTATCCAGTGACAGCCACCGTAAAAGAGGCTTAGTCATTAATACCAGCCTCATTACCAAGCTGTGTATTTTAACCTTTTGACTCCCTTGCCGATCGTGTTGCTATTTGCCATTCAAAAAAAGGCTTCATTGACCTTGTACTACCTACCCACCCTCTTATTACGTATGAGGAGAAAGGATAGAAAACAATCCAAGCACTCCTTTAAATGACGACCCAAATCCGGAAGAAGAATATACTCAAATCTCTTTCGCTGTCCAACACGCAACTGCTCTGAAAAGTCGCATTTTTTTCCCTAACTTCTTGAGCAGGGGGGAGGGGAAGGTGACCCTAAGCAAACTGACCTCGACCCGAGCCCACGCGCTGAAGGAGCCCTTTCGCCCACGAAATGCCCACAGCACCAGGTGTCCGAAGGAAAGAACGCGATCTCTATTTGGATTTTAAAATGGATTTCGCACGCGAAACGACATCCAAGCAGCAACAGAACTAGCAGTTTCTGCATTGTCGAATGCTGGCCATGAAGCATAACAGCAGAAAATATTTTCATGAGGAGATGAATTAGATACTGCCGTTGGAAGAATATTAAAATAATAATAAAATGTGATGGCTGTCACGTAAAATTAATTAATACTCATTTTTTGCGAGGAATATAACACCAAATATCGGAATTTGGTGCACACAAAAATGTGTGGTAAATATTTCATTTGGAAAGCTTGTACCACTTCGATCTAAGGTATGTTCCCGGACGATGGTGTATACAGATTATATTTTCATGGGAGGAGTTGTATTTTCAAAAAAACATGCAAAAATACCGTAATTTTTGTGGTAAAAATTAAAAATTCGTTGGTGTATGGGAGGGGTTTGAGCCCCCAAAATCCCACCCTTGTATATTCCACTGTTCCCAGAATTTGATTTGGGGCGCGCTGCAGCAAGTCTTTAAATATTTTCAGCATTCTTTGTCATTTTGTAAGTAAATTATACTGAAAATATACGTCAAAAAGAATTTAGGAGTCCTTAATCTGTATGAAATTACAAGATATATGTTGGGAAATTAAAAGTTCTTAAACGTCTTAACTTCTCTCTCAATCTATTTACCCTTACGGATAGTATCTATTCCCCT